CTTTTGCCGGGTGAGTCATATGTTTTGTCGGGCAAAGCTACTTCTCTCAAGAAGCGCCGAGCGAAAGGAGAGGCGAAGGAAGGATGAAAAAGAGGTGCTCCTGGAATTTTGTATGGGGAAGGCGTTTCGCCCCTGCTTCGCCGGGTAAGCCTCGGGCGAGCAGGAGCTGACATTTTTTTACTTTTCTTCTGTTTTTCTTTTCTTTCTTTTGTTGTTGCGTTGTCTCAAATGAAGTGAAATGATTAATATGATGTATTTCTAATAATGATGTTATGATGGAGTGTGACAGAGATATACTATGACGATTACATGAATGATGATGCAAATTTGACTAGCTGTGGTCGTGTTTATTGTGACGTGTTGCATCATACATTTATAGCATATGTTAGGACTTCGGTCCAGTGACGATGTTAGGACTTTGGTCCATTGACGATGTTAGGACTCCGGTCCAGTAGTGGCCTCAATCCCAATGTGTGGGTTGAGTGCGTTTTATGATGTGCTCCGGTTCCGAGTGGGAATCGATCCTATGATGGAGATCTTTGGAGGGAGATGGCCATGTGTTCATCAAAGTCTTGGTACCACATGCATGAGTCGTTTTGTTAAATTACATACTAAGTGACATTGCACAAATATGAGTTAATAAATGTTTTGATGATGTTGTGACATAAGTGATGTTTTGACGATGATGATTTATTAATGACGTGATAACGCTGTGAATGACTTATTGAAGTGACAATGTGAGTATGTGTGTGATGTGTGATGGATATATGAAGTATGGATAATTATTGTTGTAACTACTATATCTATTTCTTATACCTTTTGTAATGATTTGTGATTACTCACCCTGCCTGTTTGAATGTTACCTCTACGTGGGTAACATGCAGGTGATCAAGGTTAGCTCGTTGACGCGTGAAGATTTAGATTTGAAGTCAATTTATCTTATTTCTGTGAATTAAGAGGGTCTTGCTCTGATACGTAACATTGGGGTTTGGGAGCGCTTGGTTTTCTGAAGTCGTTATTGATTTAAGAACATGTTTTTAAGAGTTTGTTACGCGATAATTTGTTTTATGTTGATATTTTATTATGATCAAAGGCCTTGAAGTCCTTTGATGAAAATTATGAAGTCATGTTGATACTAAGATTCCGCTACGAAGTTTCAATTGTACGTGGAGTTATTAAGATGAATTTTATAATTATTTAAAACCCGTGTTACGGAGCAGGATGTGTGATAAGAATATTTTTATGAAGTATATGACACCCTTGTCGGTGATTTACTCTGATTTAATTATTGATTTATGCGCTAAATTATTCATTGAGTTTAGAAGGGTACTATATTAGCACCCCTCACGTCCGTTGTACTCAATAGGAACCATTTAGTTAGTTATCGAATGTATGTTACCTTATGTTAGTTTCTAATATTCTATTTATTGGGTGGGAAAAGAGAGAGAAGATAAATGTTTTTTAGATTTTTATTAAAGAGAAAGGACCTAAAAAAGTTTTTATTATTAGGGGGCCTGACAAAATTTCGCAATCTTGCTCCTACGCATTTCAAAGAGAAATCAAGGCAAACTAGTTCTGGGTAGAAAATGATTGTTTGTTGGTCGATTTTAGCGAAAGCTATCTTGTATTAATCGACAAGAAACATTGTTTTATCCAAAACAGGTGAGGAGCAGACATTTACACCACATTGGATGGACTTACAAATCACATTCATGTCACTTATCTCAACTCAACGGTTGTGGATGAAACATTGCTTAGCAGCACCTTAAGACAAGATGTCTTTCGTTTATGAAAATGTTTTTAGGGTCGCACGACGATGGAGAAAAAGTCGATTTGTTGGATGCATTTTAGGTGAATGGCGAACGTTTGATGAGAATCAATTGTTCAAAGAGTTATGCAAAGATGCTATATCCCAACGTCCCTTTTCATTCAAAGATTCATGAAAAACTATTTGATGGACAACGAACGCTTGATAAAAATCAATTGTTCAAAGAGTTACGCTAGATGGCTTGATCACAACGCCTCTTATTTGTCCAAGTTAATTATTAAGTGTTTTAAGAACGAAAGAAAAAAATGAACGATTATCCCAAAACGTGTGGCTCAAGACCGGTCATTTGAGGGTTCCTAACGGAATGCTAGATTCCAACCGTCATCTTCTTCCGTGTTTTACTTTAAAAAATGTTTTAACACTATGTTTGTTTTGATTCATAAAATGGTTGAAAATAAATTTTATTTATTTTAAAATGGATTTAAGAATAATTTGAAATTAATTGAAAATGGTAAAATGTTAGTAGAATCGAATCTTATTATTTACATGTATGAGAGGGACACCTTGCACTTCGGACAATGATTATATTTTACATACTCTTTTCTGTATAATATGCAATCATTAGGGCATGCATGTATTTTTTTCATACTCCAAACCCATCAGACACAATATCTTTTTCGCCTCGTAATAACGATTTGGCATTACGTTACCTTATGGAAGCATCTGTGTCAACAATTCAAGCAATTCGGTAAAAAATTTGTCAGTCCACCCATTATTTGCCTTCAAATTAAACAATTTTAACACAGCTGACAAACGTGTAAAATTTGTGCATCCCGAGTACAAAGGTTTATCCTTGTCACTGCATGAAGTATCATACGCATGCGCCTTCTTAAACGAATCTTGTCCAATATCACGCATCATGTCTTCCAGACGGTCATCCATTTTTGCACTAACATTATCTCTTTGGGACACATTTGACTTTGCTACTACCTCACTATGCCATATCCATTGTGTATAACTTTGACAAATCCCACGACAAATTAGATGATCCATGATTTCTTTCTTATTGAGTTTTGGTTCGTGATTTTCACAACGAACACATGGACAGAGAAAAAGCAGATGGAGATTTTTTTCAGCATCACTCTTAGGAGAAGCAAGATTTTTTTAGCATTACTTTCAGCAAGCTCTAGAAATTCCATCACTCCATGTTCGTACTCGACACTTAATTGATTGGCTCTCATCCAACTACGATTCATACCTATGTTCCAAAATTATTAATGCATACAGAGTTAAATCATTGGGACGCCTATAATAGTCCCTCTTTTGGACATTAGAGAGAACAAAAGTCTCTACGTGTAAACACGTGGCATAAAAGAAGAATTGAGAAGTTATAAAAAATGAAAAGAGAACCTGCAATGTCGTGGCGGCCGAATGACTCGCGGTTAAGAGAAAAAGAGGGACACAAATTCTGCGAGAAACGAAATATCAATAAACTGAAGCAATTGGAGTTTATTTGGTTAATTAGTTATTTTATTTTCAGATACCAAAATAAGAGAAACAACAAAGAGGGTACAAAACTTACACTATGCACTCAAGGTTGTATTTAGACAAAGTCAATGATAGGATTTGTCACCAAGATGAGATTTAGACAAAGTACCGAAACTGCAACCAAATCATTAGGATAATGATATGATTTTCATAATTTATTTTCACAATCAACCATTGTAATAACAGCAAAAACTACTCTTTTTTTTTTCCGGAACAACCAAAAAACAAATTTATTGAAAAAATATCGTTTAAACTCAAAAGTCACAACTTTCTTTTCAAGTAGAATTATTTCTAAAAAATCATAGTCAATTCTATTTTAAAAGCTCAAAACATGTTTAAATCAATTATGCACATCTAAAATAAAATTCTAGATGCTCCAAACGTGAAAACAAACATATACTAAAATACATTGGGCAACACTAGCATTCATCAATCTCACAAATTCACCATCAAAAGAGAATCAATCTCAAAAAAATAAACAACCATAAATCACTATAAAAAAACTCACTTACTTGGTACCCTTAATCTTGAACCAAGTCTCAGCACAATGTTTATGCACAACAGCCAAATGAAACAGAGGAGGTGACGAAATCGGTGAGGGAATGATGGAGGAGGGGGGGTTTCGTCGTGGGTCGTGGGGGCGGAGGGAGGACGGCGCGCGCACGGTCGGAGGAAGGAACGACCGTGGGTCGTGGGTGGGGCGGAGGCAGGACGACACTGTCGTGGGGCGGAGGGGAGGGAGGAACGGCGAACGGAAGTCGCGAGCGGGAGGGAGAAATGATTTTCGTCGTGGGTTTGAAATGTGCAGGTTTTGGTGAAGAAACCATATTTGAGGGTTTTTAAATCGGTAGAATTTAAAACCGATTTAAAATCCATGTTTTAATTAACTTTTTAAATCGGTGGAAACAAACCCGATTTAAAATCCATGTTTTAATTAACTTTTTAAATCGGTGGAATTTAAAACCGATTTAAAATCCATGTTTTAATTAACTTTTTAAATCGGTGGAAACAAATCCAATTTAAAATCCATGTTTTAATTTACTTTTTAAATCGGTTGGAATCAAAACTGATTTAAAATCTCATTTTTTAATTTTTTTAATATTACTTTTGGGGGGTTTTTAAATCGGTTGAATTGGAAACCGATTTAAAAATATTTTAATTTACTTTTTAAATCGGTAGAAACAAATCCGATTTAAAATCCCATTTTTTAAGTTTTTTTAATATTATTTTTTAAATCGGTTAGAACGATACCCGATTTAAAAACTCTTTTAATAATTTTTTTCAATTTTTTATATCGGTGGATTAATTGACCCAATGTAAAAGATCTAATAATTTTTTTTATTATTTACGATACTGCCACCCTGTTTATAATTGAATATCCGATATAAAATTATTTTTTTAAATGTCTTTTTTTCTAGTAGTTGAGGATAACCTTGCTACCTCTTTTAATTCAATTTGCTTCAAACAAAATCGAACACCTTAATTTGATATTTGTTGAGTTTGCAAATGTACAATGTTGTGTATAGTAAATTAGAACCAATCCAATAACTAAACAAAACCAAAAAATGAAAAACTAGAAAGAGACCATCCATGACTATGTATCAACACATTATGACACAAATGAATCCAGACACTCTTTTTCTCAGCAAACTTCAGGTGTATGCAGAGATGCCAGTAGGTAATATTAATCAATTTCTTGAGAAGAACCTGAACCCGTCGATGAAGAAGATTGACGCACCACACAAGCAACCATCTTCGCCCATTGTTTCAACCGATTCTTCTTTGCAGGCAAATCCTCAGCTTCTCATAACAAAATTCAAAACCACTTTCACTCAACTTTTAATTTTAACTATAGCAGATTAAAAACCCTAATTTTTACTTCAATTATATCAAACAAATAAAACCTAATCAAGATTATTGTGAATCACTAACCACTTAATTACCTGGATTAAATATGGCGGTGGTGTTTGCAATGCCGCTATCAGAGACAATGGAAGATGAAGAAGAGGATCGTGACAAGCTATGATCATTGTACTGTTTATTAACAGCGTGATACAACTTCAAAGCAGGTATAGTATCGCATAATTTCGGGTCGGTTTCGGGCGAATCAAAGCCAAAGCCGAGTTCGAAACAAGCTTTGAGTTCTTGTAAGTCATCCTCAGAGACACTCTTGGTTAGCCGACGGGTGCTACTGCGGCTGACGTGATCGTGCTTTCGTCTCCGCCATGCTTCTTCTCGAAGCATGTCCGGTGACCATGTGGCATGTTTGTAGAGCCGCGAAGGTGGCCGCGAGTTGGATGGTTTCGACATAACGATGATGATGATGATCAGATTTTGTAATATAAATTGTGTTTACGAGTAGTTGGTTTTATCTTTGAAACAATAAATTCTTTTATGTTTTTAAAAATGTTTTTTAAAATATTAATCTTTTTAAAAAATTATTTATATAAATCAAAAGACATATTATAAGATAAATATACATTATTATACAATATTTTTCTCTAATAAAATACTATATACTACTAATATTTCTTCTACGTAATTTAACAAATTTTAATATATTTTTAGTAATTTAATTGAATATACTGAGAATCTTTTTTTACTATATTTTTTATTTATTATATTTTATAAATTTAATTATTATACATTATTATATTAAAATTTTGTATAGAGTATATAACCATTCAAACATATTAATAAAAGAGAATTAAAATAAAAGTTAAACGTTTCAATTTTAAAGGTTCTGATTAATGGAAAGTTGTTTTATTCAAATTGAAATTGTTGATTTTTGAAATGAAGAATTTTGAAAAGGAAAGAACTTTTCTTTTCTATGCAAATTGTTCTAATAAGGAAAGTAAATCTTAGATTTTAAATATTTTACCAATGACATATATATGCAAATTGAAACGTATCATATCATAATACTATATTAGAATACGAGAATAAATTTGAACCATTAGATTTTAAAATAAATAGTAAGATTATGTATCACTTTTTTTTTTTTCAATAATAAAGAAGAGAGAAAAATAAAAATTACAAATAATCTCCATAATTTATTTTAAAGTTTAATTGTTCGTATTTATTTTCATGTTCTCACATAAAAATGACATTTTAATATAATACGTGTCATATATATATATATATATATATATATATATATATATATATATATATATATATATATATATATATATATATATATATATATATATATATATATATATATATATATATATATATATATATATATATATATATAAAGTTTGAAAATTTATTAAAACCAAAATATAAATTGATTTTTTTAATAAGAAGAAAGATGTGAATTTTTATATAAGAGGAAGGTTCACTATAAACATATAATTATATGATCTGATTTTTTTTAATTTGTATAAATAAACTGCGCAAGTTTTTACACGTGTATCTAATTAAATAAAAAAATACATTTGCATTTATGAATATATTTAGGAGCAATTTCATAAAACCATTTTATCATTTTTAAAAAGTTATTGATTTATAAAAATTAATAATTTGTTTGCATTAATATATAAATATAAATAAATATTGTCAGAATTGAACCATAGACTAATTAGTTATAAATTTTTAAATACGTACCAATTGAATTACTCCGCCCATGCAAAAAATATTTTGTAATTTGATTTAATTTTAATTATAATTTTTGTCTTTATAATTTCACCTCATTCAGAAAATGAATTCACCTATTTTAAGTCAAAAAGAAAAAAAATGGTATCCTCTTACAATTTAGCAATGAAAATGAAAGGTGTCATTTTTAATGATTCGTAAATTATATTTTTTTTATCTTTTAATTTGCATCATTTTATATATATCTTTCACATTTTTCATTGAAAATTAATAATTTTTATGTTTTATAATGAAGTGTAAATTATTTATTTTTTTAATTTACAAAAAATTTTATATGATAATTTATCACATTAAAAAAATGACACGTCATTTTTAAAATATATACGTTATTAGTTTTAAGTCTAAAAATATGAGAGAGAATCAATAATATTTATATTTTATATAAAAGAACTAATTCTCGTAATGAAGTATAATAAGAGGATAGGTAAATCTATAGATAAAGAAGGTGAACTAGTACATTATGCCTTTTAAGCAGATAATGAACCACTCTATGTAGCTGAGTTATTGAAAGACTAAAAGTGGATGCATGCTATGGGAGGAGGAGTTAAAATCCATAAAAGACAATAAAATCCGGTCACTAGTTGAATTGCCACAAGTTAAGAAGGCAATTGGTTTGCGGTGGATGTACAAGGTGAAGCTAAATCCAAAGGGATAAGTAACCAGACACAAGGAAAAACTTGTAGCAAATGGATTTCGTCAGAAAGAAAGAATTGACTGTGCTGAAGTTTTTGCATCCGGCCAGTTGTTAGGATCGAAACAATTAGGTTGATTGTTGGTCTAGCAAACATGAATAACTCGTCCATATATCAGATAAATGTGAAATGAGCATTTCTGAATGACCCTCTAGATGAAGAGGTTTATGTAGCACAACCAGAAGGTTTTGTGAAGCAATGCTAAGAAGTAAAAGTATATAGGCTCCAAATATTCCTGTACAGACTCAAGAAAGCTCCAAGAGTTTGGAACAAGAAGATAGATAACTTTCTAAGGGAGAAAGAGTTTAGAAAATACCTCATCTTCCTCTTCAGACTCTGATCCATAATCTGAGTCAGATTCTGTTTCTGAAGATGTAAGAACCATCAAAGCTTGATTGACTTGTTCTTCATCTTTGTCAGAGTCTTCTTCATTGTCAAGTTCATCTCATGTTTCCATGAGAATCTTTTTGAACATGTTCCTAAATTTGTCCTTCTGATAGCTACCTTTCTTTGACTTGTCCTCTTGCACCTCTGGACAATCAGCAATGAACTAGCAAGGCTTTTTACAGTTGAAACATCCCTTATGATCATCTTTCTTTTCTCTAAAGCGTGATCCTCTGAGGCCACTACTTTAGCTAGAGAATTTTTTGTTCTTCTTGGCCAGATAATGGAATCTTTTGATTATGAAAGTCATTTCTTCATCATCAGAATCTTCTTCAGAAGTTCTTGCATGAGCTATTTCTTCAGATTCCTAAATTTTAGAAGACTTGGCAGGTTGAGCAACAAATTTTAGAGCAAGAGACTTTGATTTTTTGGCAAGTTCATCTCTATTGAGATCCATCTCATGACTTTGGATATTTTATTAAGCTTTCAAGACTTATAGTGTTTAAGTCTTTGGCTTCTTGAATGGCAGTCACCTTTGGTATGTATCTCATAGGAAGACTCATAAGAATCTTCTAGACATGATCAGAAAATGTATAACTCTTGTCCAGAACTTGAAGTCCAGATATAAGAACATTAAACCTTGAGAACATGGTTTCAATGACTTCATCCTCCTTCATTTTGAATAGCTCATATTGTTTAACCAAAAGGTTAATATTTGCTTCTTTTACTTGTTGATTGCATTCATATGTAGAAACCAAGGATTCAAAGATGGTTTCAGTAATAGATTTGTCAATAATATTGATGTACTCAAAGTGAGATAGAGCATCTACACAAATGCCTCTAACTCTGTGATGTTTTTTTATAAGTATTCTTTTGAGCAAGTGTGAGACTTTTTCTGTCAGTTACCATTCCTACTCCATTAATTGGAATATCAATGCCATCTTCAAGGATGTCCCACTGCTCATCATCAAGATCTATGATGTGAGTGTACATCTTACTCTTCCACCATTCCAATTATGTAGAGTCTCCAATGAAAATTGGAGGTATAAATGTATATATATTCTTCTCAAAAGTACTATAATCATACTTTACCGCAGTTGTGTTTCAAGAACCACCAGAGGTTTCAGACATGTCTGTCATGTTTTTCTCTTAGGATCTTTTTTATACCACTGTTAATGTTAAAAGCACAAATCATGCTCTGATGCCAACAAAATGTGAGAAAAACACAAGAAGGGGGTTGAATTGTGTTAGATTTATTTTTCTTTTTTGAAAGTCTCTTAAAATATTCTGAACACAAGGTATAGAATCTGAATTAGAGTAAAGTGTTTATCAGCATATTAAAGAAGTTCGGAGGTAGAAAGGAAAGCAAGAGAGACACGAGCATTTATCCTAGTTTCTCTCACAAATCGAGAGTAGTTCAATCCTCTTGCAATTCCAAGGGATTCTCAGTATAACCAAAACTAATTAAAATTGCTCAAGCATAGAGCAAGAGACTTCCGATGGTCAAACACACAATTAAGAGACTTCTATGCTCAAGCACACAAGCAAGAGACTTCAAATGCTCAATCACACATGAAATAGACTTTTATGCTTAAGCACACAAGCAAGACACTTCAAATGCTCAAGCACTTATCAAGAGACTTCTTAAACTCTAACTTAAAGTTAAGAGATAGGGAAATAACTACATTTAATATACAATCAGAGGGTAGACAAAATACAACACAGAAAGACTCTTTAAGGCTTAGAAATTCTAGAATATACCAGTGTTAAGAAATTCTACGTTAAACTTGTACTTTTTGTTTGACAAAGTAAAAAATATTTTATTGTCAATAGCTCGTCATTATTCTTCAAGTATTCAGCTCCTTACACAAAGAATAAAAAAGTTGTTGAAGATTTTGCACAAGAGAGTATTTGAGAAGATTGATCCAGAGATGTTGAAATGTTTCTTGATATGGTTAATACAATTGAAAGCTCATTTTAAATCCCTTGGCTACAAAAGGAACTATATGTTGCAATTTAGCTGTCTTCTGTAGATTTTTGCATAAGTCTTCACGTGATCAGAAGAAGATAAAATGTCCTTGGAGTCTGATAGTGACCTATTAAAATCTTTTTTATCCTTGCATTGACTGAATCTTCAGAGTCTGATTATCCAGAGGTTGACGCTTCAGATTCTGGATCATCAAATTTTGGATCTTTAGATGATGATGTCATTCAAATTCTAGATCTTCAGAGGATGACATCATTCAAAGTCTGATCTTCATCTTTTGATCTTTCAAAATCTAGAACTTTAGCTTCTCTTTAAATGTCCATTCTCAGAACTAGTACTAAGTTCTCTTCAAAAAAATTAGTATATGATCATGCACACTTGAACATTTGTTAGTATATCCTATTGTTCTTTAAATACATTGTTATCATCAAAATCTTAGAGATATGGTACATAAAAATTTTGTTCCAACAATCTCCCCCTTTTTGACGATGACAAACACAAGTATTTAAGAACAATGATTGTTAATGTAATTAACTAGTTGACTTCAAAGTATGAGATTTGTAAGCTCCCCTGATTCTAATAATCCA